CATACATATATACACGTGTGTGTGCATGTGTGTATTTAAGCAGCAAATTCTCTTTTAGGCATGTCTGAATAAATATATCAACTGTAATAAACAGAAAAATATTTGTGAATATGAAAGGATTATGGTCAAAATAAGTAGACAATGTTTGTAATTTATTCAAACAGACATGTCTAAAATTATATATATGTGTGTGTGTAGCTTACTGAAATATTAAAAATGTACACAACAAGAAACAAATTTAATAAATAAAAAATGTCTTAAAATGCAGAAACTTAAATTTGTACATTGTTTTAATTTATTTTTTCTTATTAATTCATTCTGTTCTTAAAAATCGCTATATTCCAAATGCGGGGTTTTTTTTTAATGAAAATAGTGTACATTATTATAAAAGGGAACACCAAGAAGAACACCCCCAACCCACTTACCAAAATCCAACTGAATTTCCCAAATAGATGTTTTTCTTGAATCAATTCTTCATTGAACAGAACTTTTCAGGACCCTCCCCCCATAATATTGATGCAAGACATTACTAATCAACACAGTGATTAAATCAATTTGAAAGATGCAAATTGCCTGCCTATTTATAACATTTGAAAAGCTTTTTAATTTGTTAATAAACCATCCCAATATTTTTTATCCCATTTTGATAATGAAAGAACTTTTGAAATGAACAGCAAACCTTCTGAAGTAATAATTTGCTTACAACAATGGCACAAATTAAAATTAGTTCAAAATATTTAGTGATTTTAAATCAATTTAAAAAAAATATTTTTTTCTTTGTATTGGGTATCCTGAAAAGGAAGAGTTTTTGCCATGAGATTGCATTAGAAGCAGTCAGCCTTAAATTACATAAATTGATAGCTGTTGTCACTGTGACTTTAGAAGTTGGATTTGATATATTCGTTTGAGTCTAAAAGCTGATGATGGAAAATAAGTAACATTTAAAAAACAGAAAAATTAACTAAAATAAGTAAATAAAAATGCATTCTGAATGATGAAACTTGTCAAAAGTGTTTTGTTTCTTTTAAGTCTTCTGCCAAAGATTTCTTGCTGAACAATGCTCCACAGTAGGTGTAAACCAGTTTAGGCAGAAGCTAATGAAATCAAGACATTACTTTAATAATCATAGAGCAGCAGGAGAAGCAACATATATGCAAAACAAAGTCAAATTATTTGCCAACCATACATCAAAGTGACCAAGTGAATTGTATTTCTGTTTGGCTTGTTATTTAACCTTTAGCTCTCTACATTATTATTACTACTTCTCTTTCCACTGCATTCCTTTTCAAGGCCTCTTTTTTTTTTTTTTTTTAGTATCCTTATTGCTAATTTCACTTTTTTTTTTTTTTTACTGTTGCCATAGTAGGATATGACAACACAACTATAAAATTCAAACACTATTTTTTAGGGACCAGAGTCAGCTCCAGTGGCAGGATAAACTTTTTGTACAGCAAATAAAGTCACATACAGAGTGATAAAGGTTAATAATTATGTTTTTGAAAATCTGTACAAGGTTATGAAAAGTGGACACTTTAAAACAATGTAGAACACAAATGAGATTGGGAAGTAAGCAAAATTAATGACGGTTAACTGGACAAAAGGCTAATCTACATCCACACAAGGTAACATTGTGTATAATGAGGGGGATTGAAAGTGAGCTATCTAACTCCCTCCTACCCTTTACTAGGTACTCCTTTCAGAGAACCAAACTATTTAAACGGGGTCTGTCAAGAGAAAACAAAAATTGTGGATGGGTTGTTTATCAAAGCTGCATTTCTGTGCTGTGGAAGTTTTAATTTGACACGACTGAAATTTTTCTGTTGTGGTGAATTTTGTTAAATAAAAAAAATAAAATATCTGAACCAACTTCACCACAGGTCCAAAGTTCAATTTTTCTTTTATATACATGTATGTACACATCTTTAGGAGAACACCAACTGATACAATTTAGCCAATTACAGAATTATTAAATAGGAAGTGGAGGAGAGTTGTCTATCATTGTCAATGTTTAACCATTGAATTAAATGTATTGACACTGATTTAGACACACACACACATATATATATATATATATATATGCGTGTGTATGTCTCACAACAACATCAACAAGCTCAGTCTGATGAAGTCCTAACGGATGAAACACATCAGAAATAAAGTTTTTACATTTACTCTTTCAATTTCCTCAATACTGTTCATGAGATATGATAGAGTTTTTTAAAAAGGATTTTGGTGAAATAAATTATTGTAATGGTACCTTAAAGTGGTCTGTTTTTCATATATATATATATATATATATATATATATATATATATATATATATATAATAGCTGGCCACTCATATCCAAGGATACCTGTATATTAAGACAGCAAACCTATCCCTGTTGCAGACACTTGTTCAGGCACATTTGTGTTTATTCAGCACCCACAAAGCCAGCCTGTGGTTTATACTGCAACTATGCTGAGCAGATATTACAGTTTATGAGATCAACAGTCATGAACA